TGTAATAATAGTCTTGTCACCAGGCAAACCAACATAGCAGTAAGTATTCAATACATAATGAATGAAAAACAGTCTTAATGGAGTAGATGCCAACTTTAGAAGAAGGCAATCTAATAAACATTCTAGAATGAAAGATGCATATTTCCTAGCAACAAAGGCTTAATCTATGCCTGGAACATAAATATACACAAAATACAAACACATTGAAGATAGATGCTTGAAGTAATGTTGCGTCTTCATGCTTAATTATCAAGCTGCCATCCTCTTTCATCCACATTATATCCATTCTTTGACAGGAAAGGCCACAGTCCACTTCTCCATAGTCTCCTATGGCACCTGCTGCCTGTGCCACTGAATTACTTCAACCAGTGTCTTCTGTTGTGCTCCGAGGTATATAATCTCAATTAATCGTATATTAAGGGGTTCACGGAGCTCTTTATCTGCACATATTATGGGTGCTCAATATTTGCTGAATGCATGCCTCAAAGCAGACCAGCTTATATTTTTTGTAACATGCAAATAACAATAGCAGAGCAGCAGTCATCAAGCTAAGGGCCTGGGGAAGAGACAGCTTCCTGTGAAGCAAGGGTCTCTGTAATTCAGATGGACATGCCATAGACTTAGAACCACAGGTATACTTCCTTCTTGTGTACCCAAGAACTGCAGAACTACTCTATGGCACTGAGTTTCCTCACTTGGCATATTCTACAAATGCCAACAGTCAACTTCTGTATTTATGTGATTTAATGCACATTAACATGAAAAAAGCTTATGATATCAGGCTGTGGAAGCCAAAATAATAACATAGGCCTGGGGGCAAGAATCATTTTCTCCAAGGTATATTGGTTTTTGAGTACTTTGACACCAATAAGAATAGCCTTGCTATTTTCTTTTCCAGGAAACACAAAATATTTAATTGAATATGTATTTTTAAAAAGAGAAAAACTCATTTAGAAATGACCTACTTCACTCTTGCAAAAGGATTTTTGTAATATATTTCAAAATCTGGCCCTATAGCTATTCATTTCTTATTCTAAGGTAGTTTTAATTTTTTAATTTATGGCAGTCACATGTACAGTGTGACCTATAGGTTGAACTCCTCTTGGCCAGAATTTTATTTTTAAGGTGCTGAGGGTGTTTACCACTGATTGCTGAGTCCTTTCTATGGAACTGCTCATTAAGCATCCAGCTCAAGGTGCACCCAAGCTGGAACAATACAATATCCAAATAAACAAAGGAGGAAACACAATGTGTTTCCTAAGATGATTATGAGAAAAATAACTTGACCCTACAGAGAGAGAGAGAGACAGAAAGAGACAGAGACAGACAGAGAGACAGAGACAAAGACAGAGACAGAGGTTAAGCTACCACAAAGATCAAAACCAGGCAATTTCATGTATATCTAACATACAGAGTCAATTGAGTAGGAAGCAACTTTGAAATAGAACAATTTAAGTCATGTACTTTTTTCTCCCATAATATAGTACATATCTTCATGAATGAAACCACACAGACAAATGGACATGGTTAAAAAAAAAAGTGGGAGCTTCTAAAAGCAACAGTGGAACAGAAACCTACGGTCAGAACATCACCGTACTTGAAAGGTAAGAGACACACTAGAGAATCTCATGTGGAATCACAGTGAAGCTCTGAATGGCTCCTCATCCAATCCTATCCTTCAAATTACTTTTATTTGAAAAGATATTCTAATGAGGTTAATGGCTTCCTAGTTGCAAAGCTACAACTATGTTCATACAGCAAATTGCCAGTGAATATTCCTTTCAGCATGCTGCATGTTGCAAAAATTTCTCCCTAGATAAGGCTATCCTTAGACAAAGAGGACACCAGACCTGTTCCAGGTAGCAGGGATAAAAGGCAGAGTGTATTCTGCCCCTCCCACCATGACATCCATGCTTTTGGGTGTGTAAAGTGGAGCTGGATGGGGCTTATAATTTTTCCCTTCCAAAGGTGTCCGGTGTGAAGCTTTAACATGTTTTGAGGAAGTCAGATGACTTAGCACAAAATGACAGTCTGCCTTCCTAACAAGGGGAACAATTCGATTATTCTGGTTACGGAAGATAAAAGATAACCCTGGAACCCTTCCTTTCAGAGAAATCAGAAATCAACTATGACCTTTTGAGTTTAAAAATATTTTTCCATTTCATTTGTACATTTTTCTGGTAATGAAACTCTGACCTGGGGAATGGGTTTCAGTTATTGTGTTTGACTGGGAGAAAAGAAATAGATCACTATGGGCTTTATTTTATTTATTTTTTTAAGGTTTTGGCTCTATGTTACTGTCACTGGATTTGGCTGTTGAAGCTTTTAAGGCCAATGGTGGCTGTAATGTACCAAACTGTGCAAGAGAGAAGTGGATATTAATTTAGCTATCCACTTGTCAGGATTCGGTCTGGAAGATTTTTTAGGAACCAATCTAAATCTAGGGGATAGGTCGGACCTTTAAAATGGGACACATAATCATTCAGCTCCATAACCTTTAGTCTGTTTGAAGAAAGGAGCAAATGTTAAACTCTACACATGTACTTTCTGGGCAAGACAAATATATATAAGACTGCTTGTTAAGATACAGTAAGCCTGGAAGATCACATCCATTAAGGCAATGGATTCCACAATATTGTTTTAGGAGCAATTTCAGTTTAACTACTCTTGGGTGTGCCAGTGAGAATGTGGGCATTCATTACCACAAATGCATTTGGTGTGCAGAGAACATTCAACTGCTCACATCAAGAGGCTAAAGTGCATCTATGAGATCATCTTATATTACCTGGAGCTGAGGCCAGCAGCAGAGACAGAAGCAAAGACAAGTTCCCATTAAAGGTGCCTTTCATGTGGACAGAATATAGCATTGTTTATTTTCCAAATTTCCTCTCAAATGGAGTCTCTGCAGTTGGAACTGGGATAACAGTGAGTTGTAACTACTCAAGGACCCAAGATTAGCTTTTGTCTGGAGTGAAGGATTAAGAGTTGTGAGCTGAAGCAACTCCACTGACTGCTGAGATTGATTGGAAAGGGGGAGAAGGTCAGGGAACATTAATGTTCTTAGGAACAAAAGCCTACGGTAGTGAGGAGGGCAGCCACAATTGCGAAGTGTTGTTCTATAGTAAAGAGAGATGCACTGATGCTCCGAGTGGGTAAGGCCTTGATTGCCTTTAAAATGGAGACGTGGATACCTAGATGAAACTGTCCAGTGTGATGGGTCACACCGAAGCAGCTTCTGCACAGATGGATAGACTGCCGGTCTGTTTCCAGGGCTGACACATGCAGGGCATGGGGGAGAATTAGTTGACGTCAATCCCTCAACTTAGACATCCACAGGAAACTACACCTCAACCTGGTAATGCGAGAGTACACGCAATGGCAGGGGCTCTCCTAGATAAGAGATAAGGAATCCTAATGGGAAAAGACTGAGCTCTTAGTGGGCAGTGCCGACACGACAGCACAGTAGCTGTGCAAGTTCCTGTTAGGAAGAAGCGTCTTCGGTATGACAGAGAAAATGGGAGGAATTCCATTCACTGTGCCAACAAACTCAGTTTACTTAAGAAGCAGAAAGAGCTAACAAAGAACTAAAGCAGACACACACACACACACACACACACACACACACACACACACACAAATTAGGAAGCAAATTCTCTAGACAGAGCTGAGTTTAGAGTGACACACACAAAAACCAACTGATGGATTTTCAGAAGTTTTAAAATTCAGTGTAGACTCTTAATAGTTTTGTAACCAATATTTAGAAAAATCCCCAAGAGTGGATTATTTAAGGAGTCTCTTTTTTTCTACTATAACACAAGAGTGAAAAAACCCCTTGACTTAGACAACTTGTTACGTTCCATCCACCGATCAGGTCTCTTCTTTCACTGAACACTTTGGATTTTGTCAATTTTCGTATGGAAAATGTCCTCTGAAAAGTCAGTGTGACTCCAGAGGCAACACAGCAAGGAAGCTCGCCACATCTGGGGACTGAAAAGGAGCTGAGCGTGAAGAGTGACGTCTGAGAGAGTTGGATTGCACAAAGAAGTCTGGGATGATGGCACACTAGGACATGCTGCTGAGAGACTAGTCCACCTCAGGCCAGATTCCAGTAGGCAAGTTCCTTTGTTTCAAGAGGTTTTTCTTCCCCTCACAGAATTAAGCTTACAGGTTGCTGGGGTGGGGTCCTATAAACAGCAGCAGGGGAAGACCTTCTCCAAGGAAATCCTGTATGTCATGTAGGCATGGTGCACCCTATTTTTGGTAGGCAGAAGAAGCCCAGTTTACAGAGAAGCAGTGCCAAGCACTATAAGAGCCACTGGGCAGCAGGAGGGGGAGAGAGGGCATATTGCCCCCCTTGGGGATTGTCAAAAATGAGACATAGTAAGACTCATTTTGAATAAGAGTTTCAGAGAGCCATAGAATTGGAATGATGTAACTTCCTCCTCCACCTCTGTATGTACCTCAGGGGAGGGCAGGGTACCCACTGCTCAGCATGCAAAAGACAGTGACTCCCTGTGATTGCCTGTGAGTGCCATAGGCACAGACAAAGGCAGCAAAACTGCTAGCAGGTAGTGTCCCAAGCAGGATGGCTAACTGCACTCAGGAGCACGGCCGTAGTAGGCACCTGAAAGTTGGGTGTGTGGATTAAGATGAAATTAAGACAAAGGCATGATCCAACGCCACTATACTTACCATTTCATCAACTGTGGCTAAGCAGAAGCTATCAGCGGACTGTCTAGTAGCCAGGCTGCCATTTTCCTAGGATTTTCCTTTAATAGTGATGCTTAAAAGAATTCTCTTATGGATAGGCTGTAAAAGATCTGATCTAGTGTTAAATGCTTGGATATTAAAAGACTTTCTGAGGTCCTCAAGATTTAACTTGGGAGCTCCAAAATAAAGGAAGAGTTAAATTCCAAGGATTTCAAGGAGCTTGCTTTTTCTACATACCAGAGAGACAATATACATTCAGGACAATTTCAATGGTAATGAAGGTACCATACCTGTGATGATGGTAAGGATGGTGGTGGTGGTGGTGGTGGTGGTGGTGGTTGTTGTGGGAGGGATAGTTGTGGGGGGATCTGGATAGAAAAAAAAAGGAAAATCAAACCCACAATGCTGAACACAATGATCAGTAATGACAAAACAAAAGCATGAAGACATTGAGATGTTTGTTTGATGACTTTTCCCCTTTAACACCAAAAGGTCTTTCCCATCAAAGATTTAGGTCTTGCAATTTTATCCCAGAGTCATAGCTGGAAGAGCTAAGAAAAGAAGAAAAGAGATTTCTCATTAATGAAGTGAATTAGGAATAAGGAGGTTGGCAACAGAGAAGTGAGGAAAAAAATCCAAGCCTCTGACATTCTCTACCCCCCCTGGATTTTTAAAGGCGAGACTAAGCCACCTCAGTGCTATGAGTGTGCAATGGTTGTTGTTTCATTTGTACTTATACAGATGGGAGGAAAGAGAAGAAGGCATTGTTCCATTTAAAGGACTCCTATTAGCCAAGGATGCATGTACCCCTGTACACTTGCTCTCTATGACTGCTAACTTCATTATTTACCATCAATACTTCCCAGCAGGAAGAAAAACTACTTCTATACTCTTCATAAATACAAAGAAGAGAGAATGTCACCACTAAATATCAAGTTCCAGGCATGCTAGATTTTACTGAGATTTTTTTGAAAGTCAATAAATTTTATAACTTATAAATATTAATAAGTTATCTTTGCTCCCGTTAAAAGCGTGACCTAAGTGGACTACAATGATAAAACCGAAAGAACATTTTCTATCTTGTAAACAAGAGAGCTAAATATAAATGAGGTTTGACCCTCAAAGCCAGGAACCCGATAGGGAACCCTCTGTCTGATATTTGATAGGCTGTATAGTCTTCTATCATCTCAAAAATTATTTTGGGCTGAGGGAAGGGCAAATATGAAAGAGAAAAAAATTTCTAAGCCCAAATGATCAAACTGAATGTGTTAAATTGTCAGCAAGACTTTGAACTAAGCAATCATTCTGCTATAATAGAGCATAAGACGATTTGAAGGCTTTTTTGATTTTAAATTTTATCTAAAGCACATCAACTCTTTCTCCCTGACACATCTGGTGTCCTTTTATCTTCAAGTGCGCTCTTGGATTGTCTAATTAATACATCAGAACTTTAATTATATATTGTACCTTTCCTGGGTTTTGCACAACTTCCTGAAAGTTTATAAAATCACTGTGTGGGGGCCTGCTGCAAGGTCTGCGGAAAGTGATTCCTTCCACCGATCAATAATCCCAGGTTTTAATTTTCCTCAAGAACAGCTTCTCTCACACCAACATTTACTTATACAAATTTGATAAACAAGAACCAACAGTTCTGTTTTAGGGGAGACTTTGCTCCTTGAAGTTGGGGACACAGGCAAGCTGCACTACTGTTTGATGCAGCTTCACAAGAGCCCCAGAGGACTGCATTAAAAAAAAAAACCAACAATAACAAAACCTCATTCTCTTCCAAGTAGAAATGATTAAATTACTACTTCAGAGCTACCTTAAAAAAAAAGAACAGCACGTGGAACATTGTGATTCAGGTATTGTGCTGCTTTGTTCCTTTATTGGTGGCCTCAAGAGAGAAGCACGTGTCCCGGCGACTCATCTGGATGCACAACACCTGCTGCAGGTGCTGGGGCAAAGACGAACCAAGTGCACTGAGCCGAGGCATCTTGCTCCTCCCCAGAACTGCATCCAGAGGGGGTGTCTTTGCCCAGCATGAGGCCAGTTAATGTGGTCTTTCTGTTTTGCTCCAATTACAGCATTTCCATTAAAAAGAACATGTATATTTCATAGACTTCTCTTGATAGACCATAATGCTATTTCTTTTTTCTTTTCTTTTTTTTTTTTTTTTTTGCGGAACTGGGGATTGAACTCAGGCCCTTGCACTTGCCGGGGAAGCGCTTATTCCACTGAGCCATCTCCCCAGCCCCCATAATGCTATTTCTGCACCTGTTCCTAAAAGCACTGGCCCAAAATGTGTGCTATCCACACTACAGTGAAAGTGGATCGAAATATGAGCTGAAATATGAATCTGAACCAGAAGTGAATAAGAACACCAAGGTCAGATTTCAGAGAGGGGCCATCAGTCCCTTTCATTATGTGACAATCACATACTTTTAATTATCTTCATGACTACTGGGGCAAATGTTGTCCTTCCTATCTAGCTCAAGAAAACTGAACAAATTAAATGCCAATATTAGGTAACAACTCCATGCTTAAATTGACAAGAGCAAAGCAAGACTATTATCTAAGAAGCAGAGTTGGAACTAAAATCACTGAGTCTAAGGCACTAAACTGGATCCTTTAGAGAAGTTACTTGCAGAGGATTAGACATTCTAAACTACAACAAATTTCAATTCGCAAATTACTTTTTTGTTGTTTGTGTTTTGTGGTACCAGGGATTGAACTCAGGATTCTGCACTTGACAGGCTGGTGCTTATTCTACTGAGCTATCTCCCCAACCCCACAAATTACTTTAAAAAATGCTGTAGTGGGGCTGGAGAGATGGCTCGGTGGTCTAGGGCACCTACTTAGAACAAGCTTAGCAAAAGCATCAGGGACCGCGGTTCAATCCCCCAGC